CTTGCGATATGCAAGTAGTCCTCTCTCCTTTCATACAGGCTACTTCATCCAAAGCGCATTCCGAAGATCTCGTGGAGCACATCTAAAAAATCAGCTATACTTAAATCGATATATCGATCATTGCACTAACTAGAAGGGACTGTAGTATCACCTGTTTATCCTCATCACTTTCATCTGTGCAATCTGGTAAACCATTGCAGATCCAACTTTTAGGTATACATTGACCACTGCGACAACGAAATGATTCTTCACCGCATCGATCAGCTTTGCCTATGATTCGTTAACAATTAAGTCAACATTTTGTGATTGGTTGACCTCGCTGTAGTGGAGTTGACCGATTATCGCTGAAACACTCACTACATTCGGTGCGATTTTCATCACTTCCACCAATGCAGTCTGTGAAGCCGTCACATTGATGAATTTTGCTGATACAGCTGTGTTGACTCGTTCCAGCTGCGCGACAGAGAAACTCATCCAATGTACATCTGGTCGAGAGGTCTAGAATGGTACAGATTGGGAGTTAAATGCAGTGGCAGTGAATTTAATTGGTGCAATTGCGAGAGAGAAATTAAAACAAAGAGAAATTTTCTATAATTTCGCGAAAATTAGCCGGGCGACGTATAAATTGACGGCAATATTCAACTCACATTGCTCCAAAATCGCAATACTTCGAGTTTCGCTGTAACTTGGCTGAGAGCGATAATATTATATATTGATCAGAAAATCAACACATTTGGCATGCTGGGGCTTCTTAAGATTACGGTTAATACACACGTGATGTAAAGGTTTAGAAATATAAGTCTAACCACATCACCTACCTTAACCCTACAGAACGAACTTATCGCGTTAGGGGCATAATCGTGGCCAGCATGATCATTACCTTATATTTTGAGGCTAATTTTGTGATTTAACCCCCCTTATCGTATACCTACCGTAATCCTACAGAAAACTTAGCGTGCGGAATGAGTATGATATTCATGATCAGATGCCAATTATTCCTCTGAGCATAGTTCAAGTCCGAAATTCGAGATGTTGGAGCACTGCAAATGGAAAAGTACCGAATTGTCTAGAGTATGTGCTAGCAGTAGAACGTAATTTTTGACCGTTTTAAAGTTCCTTCGAGATACATAGCTATTAATGCCAAAAAAAAAATTGCAAACGGCAACGGTCGCGATATACACATCAATGACGTGCGTTATGAACGATGATACAGTAAGCTAATGTACCTTGAAGAATTTTAGTGATCTGAGATGACCAAGTTGATGAGAAGCTGTCAGGTCAGTATAAAGCGAAAAAGCCAGAGCGAAGCCACAACAAGCGAGGTGAACCCAGGAATCACGCATACCTGTACAGTTGGCCTCATCGCTGCTCACGCCTGACATTCCAGCATCCGCGCAATCGTCTGCACCGTCACAAACCCATTCTGCACTTATACATCGTCCATTGCGACATCGGAACGAAGCAGCATCGCAATCGCTACAACAATCGATATTGGTAATCGATAAAAGCTAAGGGGAGGCCTCTACTATAAATGGTCCCACTCGTGTAGAAGGGTGTCACAATCCAACTCGTCATCTCCATCAGGGCAATCTTTGTTTCCATCGCATTTTCTATCGATATGTACGCAATCACCGGAACGGCAAGCGAAATCCAGCCCAATACGGCAAGAGTTCACTGGAATTCGCTAAGTATATCCCAAATAAGGCAAAGAGGGCATCGTTGTTTATATCAAGCAAAAATACTTAGTCAAACTCACCACAATCCATTTCATCGCTACCATCAGCACAGTCTTTTTGCCCATCACATACCCAACCACGCGGTAAGCACGATCTCGTTCGACCACATGTGAATTCGTCTGGCTTGCATGGCCGAAGTCCGGGTAAGATGGGTAGAACAATTTCTGTATATAAAAAATAGTAACATGAGAGACGCATAAAAGTCGATCGTTACCATCACAGTCCTTCTCGTCCGAGTTGTCCCAGCAGTCATTCGAACCGTCACATTTCCATTGAGGTAGTATGCATTGCGTCGTACCTTCGCAGTTTACCAACCCGGGTATGTCGAAATCGGTAGCATTGGAACAATCGCGAGGTGCTAAACAAAACTTAATTATAATAAAAAATAAGAACAATAAGTAAATAAGAACTTACGACAATTCTTTTCGTCGCTTGCGTCATTGCAATCCGGTTTAAGATCACATCTAAGTTTGCCTGCTATGCAAATACCAGAATCGCACCTAATTTAAGCTCTTTTTGTAACATAAGTGAATTATGGTGCAATTACGTACCTGAACTCATTCTCATTGCACTCGCAATCAACTTCATCGGCAAAATTGAGGCAATCATTGTTTCTATCACATTTCTTCGACAACGCTACACATAAGCCACTGCCACAATTGAAGTATCCTGGACGACAGGTGCGCTGACCTGAGAAAGCATAGA